TGAGGACGAGGTGAAGTGGTGATCAGTAAAGCAGGTAATGCAAAGGTGTGCCTGGCAGTGCCAGAAAGGACATAGAGCTCACAGAGATGTCACAGGTGGTGGAGCTCAGCTGGACAGACAAAGTTCTTCTGTCTGACTTCTCCCATGGGCCAGCACAGCACACGAAAGATGGATCGTGTGAGATGATCGTGATGATCAGCCTGTTATGGTGAATGTTTGATTTTCCCAGCTGGATAATGCCCAATCTCTGGCATCCTCTGGCCTCATGAACAGCAGTTGGCACTGGGAAGGGATCAGGATTGTGTGGCTGGGGGTGGAGAGGGTGAAGCCACTGCTACCCATGTTTGTTGGGTTAAAGCTGCTCCTGAGCAGCTGTCTAAAACTTCTGCTGTCTTTGCTCTCCTGAAGGAGAAGAATCAGTGAGCCCTTCAGGGTTTTTTTCCCTGGTGTAAATGTGCAATGATTTGTGTAAAGCGTCAGGCCTCCGAGCTGAACTACTTTTTTTCTTCTACTCATGTAAAGGTTCTGCCTCCACTGGTGGAACATACAGTTGGCAGAAGCACTTTTCAGAGTCTCTCTGTCGTCATTTTTAGGGCAAGACTTGGAGTCCTGCTGACTTCCACGTGACTGGGACTCGCACATTTGGGTAGGAGACCTGAAGAGGTGCACCTTCAGGTGGACCTTCAGGTGGTTCTTCCTGCTGTCTTCTCTAGCACCTTCATAGAGCACTGAAGTTTGGTGGTTCACTGGTCTTCAGAGCAGAAGCTGAGAAGGTTTGATCTGTCTGCATGGACGGATGTGGGAGTCTGGTATCCTACATCCCAGAGGGGATATCTGCGCTGCAGTCATTTCTGAGGCTACATGGTGAGGCTGTTGCATAGGCACAACTATGTATCTCAGTGCAATTAAATCCCTGAGCTTACTTACTGTTGATTAGTCAGTCCCTGGTTAGTTTTAGACTTTTGATTGCCACGTGGGGTGAGCTCAGGGCCTGAGGAACTGCTTCTGACTGCTGCATGTCAATGCGCAGAGGTTGTCACACTGTCACAATCCGGCAGTGTGGCCTTTTGGCTAGGACATGAGTCCTTGAAGACACTCCCTCGAGAGAGCTGGTGACCACTGGTAAGTAGATCATCCGGGTGTCCTTTGTGCAGGACTCGGATGTTTGATTTTGTTCCCTGAATCGGTTAATCTTACAACATGCTCCTGCAAAGAAAGCAAAATGTGTAGATTCTTGTAAAATCTCCTTCTGTTATTTTATTTTAATGTTTTGCCAGACCTTAGTGATTTGGTTGGCAGGCTGGAAAGCCATGTGTAGTGACCAGGGAGCTATCAGCTTCTCCCAGGAGCTGTCCTTGGAAGCACAGAGGGCACCCAGCTCAGGCCACCTGCTTGCCATCAGAGAAGGGGGGGTCCCGATCCAGACTCCCTCCTGCTGTTTAATTGGACACCTCCCCGGGGGGAGTTGCCTGCTTTGAGCACAACGCTGGTGCATGGAAGGCTCAAGGTGCTGCTTCTCAGAAACCTACTTGTATAAATGTCCTGACACTGGTTCTCTGCGGTTAACGACCATTTCATTTTTACAGCCTTTGATTTCAATTCACAATGTGGCTTGCTCGTCCTGGCAGGCAGCCTAAGGCAGCTGTACCTTCTTTAAATAGGAACTCTGACCTCTGCAAAACGACTCATCATTAATACGTCTCTGTAACGGTTTGTTTATTTCAGCTCCTTTCCATGCTTCTCTCTCTAATGGTTTTTATGCTGTTTTTTGCTTAGCTTATCAAGCAGCAGATTCTGTCCCTCCAGTTTAGGAAGGTAAAACTGCGTTGCATTAAACTGTTCTGACCAAACACATTTCTGAATCTGCCTGCACATGACTAACCTGTAGTGCTTTGGTACTAATTAATTAATCAGTCGAGAGACCTGAAGTGATCTAACAGCCTCATTCTGCATGACTGGATCCCTAATACTTTCTTGAACTGCAGACAGAAAAATGAATGTTCATTGTAATTTCTGTATTAAGGTGCAAGAAATATTCCTCTTTTTTAGCCAAAGGTTGGGTGTTCAGCTACTTCTTGATATTAAAGTGAGACTTCCATACAGAGACATTAAAAATTGGATATGCCTGCCCTGAGACTTTTAGGAAAGAGATTTTCTTCCCCCATCCCCCGCCAGTGTTGTGAGTATCCTCATTCACTTGGACTCTGCCCCAAAAATGCATTTGTACAGCTGTACTTTGCCTTTGGCAAAAGAACACATTTGGAAATGCACTTGCATTGCTGGTGTGCTGCAACGGCAGGTAGAGGAATGACTGTGGAGGGAAAGGCCTCTCCTGAACACCCCTGTAGCTGTGGGATTGCTAACCAAAAAGTCAGAAAAAGAAAATCATGATGAAGAGGAATACACTTCTCGAATCTCCTTCTCCAGCAGGCTTTTGTATGGAAATCCCTCTTTAATGTGAAAAGGCTACTGAATTGCTAGGGTTCCTTCCTCATCTCCAGGGCTTTTTCTGCCCCAAGGATGCAGCTCCAGGAAGGCCCGGAGGAAAAGCGGCTGGTGCTTTGTGTCGAATTCCTTGAACACTCTGAATTACTCGTTTAGAAAGCAATTTGAATTGGACAAGCCTCTTTGCAGCTGGAATGAGTCAGCTGAGAGCCCCACAGTGCCCAGCATCCAAAACCCCTGTGGCCAACACAATGGCTTCTTTGAAAGACTCAATAGACCTTCCAGGCTTCCTGCCAAGTGTCATTGGGCAAGTCTCTGATTCGTCTGCTGAGCCTGTGGAGCCCCCAGCTCCTGGCCACGCTGCTTTCCAAAACCATTCAGTAGCCTTTGCTGTATTTCACTTGGTTGTGGGATTTGCACTGAGTGGACCAGACTTATTCCTGGTGCTGCCTGCTGGTGCTGGTGGCGTGGTGCTGGGATTAAACTGGGTCCCGAGTGTCACTGTGTGTGTGTGCATCACTTGATTTTTAAGATGCTGACCCAGTTGCTCTCCTGCTGGGGTATGAAATGTTCATTGATGCTTGGGAAGTTCCTTTATGTGGATCTAAAAGGCATTTACTGGTATGGGACTGGGGATCTGTATTTTGAAGGGAGAATCAAAACCCTACCAGTAACTGCCTTGGTATTGGATTGTCTGCCTTGCTCTGTGGAAATGGGCATTTGGGCATTTTTTCTCTTGGGGTTGGACTTTGGGAAGGTTTCTCTGGTTTGAAACAGCTTTTGACTCCCACAGCCCTTTCCTGGCCCCACAACTGTGTGAAGAGTTGCTTACCAGGACCAGTGTCCTGTGGACCATTGGTTTCCACAGAAAAGAATCTGAGCAGTGGAATCTGTTTTTTTTACCCCATCCCACACATATGTTTGGATACAGACAGTGCTTATAACCCTCATACAGTAGATGAGTCAGGTTTGCAACAGCCTGAGCTTCCCCTGTCCCTTACCCAGCACAAGGTGCCTGGGAGCTGGGTGAGACTCCAGCTGCATTCCAGTGGTTTGTTACTCAGGGATCATCTCCCTGTGTCTCTTACAAACCCATTCTAGCAGGAAGTCAGAGTGAAAATCATGACACTGCAGCCTCCAGGTAAGTTTTCAGGGTGGATGGAACAGGCAGTTGCTGTGCCTGGAGCTCTCCTGACACCTTCAGCCATGTCTGCTCAGTCCCTGTCGGTGCACCTGCCCTTGCTGGTTCACGCTAAATGTGGGGGTTTCTGTTTTTTTCTCAACAAGTTTGCTTCCTTAGCAGGTAGAGCATGAGTAGCAGCAGCACCAGCATCCTGCCTGCAAGCCAAGGGCTGCTTGTGAGGCCAGGGTCCTCCTCGTGGAGCCCCCACCATGTGCTCTGAGCCCTTCTGCTCGTGGTGGAGCTGTCTCAGGAGTGGTTTGGGGGTTTGTTCCACCCCTTGCATGTCTCTAGAAGCTGATCACTTGTTTAAGGAATGTCTTTCACTGCTAAAAATTATATAAATAGAGCTGCCAGCTACAGTTCTCTTATAATATCTGCTGTTTCTGCCAAGATCCTTTTGCTTGAGACCATGGGGTCCCCTCTCCTACTGTAAACATGTAGTGTTTTAATTGCAGAGGGAAAAATTAAATAAGAAGTTCTTAGTTTCCAAGAGTCTCAGAGCATTATCTGAATGAAGACCCAAGCTGGAATTTATTTAAGAAAGCCCAGATCTTCTGGAGCCTCCCTTGGTGATGCTTTAGCAGGGTTGGCAATGCTGGATGAATACAGTGATTTATTGCTCTCATTGAACAGTGCTGAAATATCTGGGAAATTCAAGGCCCACTTTGGAGCTTCACAGATTGCACTGATTGGATAGTTCTGGCTATTTGGGTATCCCAGCCTAAACTTTGAGGTCAGTGCCTGAACTCAAGGAGTAGGGACTGTGAGTCCTACCTGCAGCAGTGAGAGGTTAGGCAGGAAATGGATGCCAGCTTCCCAGCTAATTCCTGAGCACAGAAAGCTGCCAGCCAGGCTCAGTCTCCCTCAGTGAGCTATCCCACAGCTGCCAGCTTTTCTTAATTCTCAGACAGCTGCTGTGTTCTTGATATGTATTCAGTTCACACTTGGCCTAAAATGACATAAGAATTCTTCAGAAATAAAGAAAAATCCCAGTGAACAGAACAGCACTTGAAACACTGACGGTTCAGAAATTACTTTGTTAGGTCTGGCTCTGAGCCTGCTGACTGGCCAAAGAGATGTTTTGTTGTAATAAAGAACTAAAATGGTTCTTGACATTCATTGCCCCGATAGCCATAAGGGCTAAGACAAAGGGAATGTCTCCAAAATGACACTTTAAATTACCAGTCATCTTAGGAGGGAGAAATCAGTCAAATGCTCTGACACTGGACTGGACTTATGAGCAAGTGTAGGGATGATGGGAGGGAAGAGGGCATGTACAACAAGGACAAAGGCTGCTGAGATGAGACAGAAAGCAGACCCTTTGATTTTTCTGGTGCTTTGATCTCTAAGAAATGCTTCTTGAATCTTCCAGGAGCACCTTCTGCGCAATCATTTCTCAGCTGACGGAGGAAACACAGCCACTATTTGAAACCACTATCAAATCCCGTTCTGTGTCCGAGGACTCTGATGCTAAATTCACGTGCATAGTGACAGGTAACAGTGTCTTCAGTGAATAACCTGGTCCTGCCTCATCTGCTGGACTTGCGCTAGTTAAACTCTGCAGCAAGTGGTAACAAGGATAACAAACCCACTGTTGTCAGACTGCTAAGTAAGAGATTTGGCAATTGCATGATGATTTTAGCTTTAACTTAAGGGAGGGGGGAAACACCTGAGAGTGTAAAGAGGCAAAGACATAAGCTAACATCTCAGACAAGGCAAATGAAAGGCCAGAAAATGGAATATGCTGGTTACTTCTTGGACCGGCTACATTTTATTGTCCTAATCTCGCTTCTTCTCTAATCCTGGACACCTTAACTCAGGAATGTGCAGTTTTGAAGACTAAGGCTATTGTACTGGAGCCGACTCTGTCTGTCTTTGCTGGCTGTAGATGGTTAGAGCGTTTGTATCAGCGATAAACTTCTGTGTCTGTCAACATCTGAAATAAAAGCTGGTTTCTGCACAATGAACCAAAATCTCCTTTTGGGCAGGAAGGGGTTAAGCCAAAAAAGAGGAGGAGGAGGGAGAGGCTGAAAAAGAGGACTGCTGCTAAGAAATTGTGGTGATGTGGCATGGCAGTGCATTGGTGTAGAGGCAAGGGGCTCCTTTGCTGATGAGATGTTGTTCTTTAAGTATTGATGCTCTAAAACCTCTGCTCTCTGTGGTATGTACCTGTGGTCCTTCCTGACCTCGCCTATGTTAATTATTCTGTGACATGTTACTCAGTGAGAGACATTAAACAAGTTTGTAAATTTTAGAAGGAGAGTATCCTTCTCCAGTGAGCCTCTTAGGCACAAGGACCAAGGATTTCCTAAGGAAATCTAGTTTGCCATTAGAAACATGCTGGAAGTAAGCTGTGCGCCGGGAAGCGCAACCTGAGCCCTCTGAGAGCTGCTGGCTTTGAATTCTTGGCTTTTCTTGCACAGCTTCCCTTGTTCTGCAGGTCTGACTTTCTGAACTTGCAGGGGTACAACTGATATATTGATGTTATTGAGGCTTAACTTCAGCAGACCCCCTCTTGCTCGAGGGCTGTGCTAGGGAGATGCCTCCAAACCATGCTGTTTGGGGATTCATTAGAAGGGCTCTTCCCAGTTAAAGCTTTCTGAAAGCAGAAGTTTGACATATTGTGCAGTACCATGGAACTCACCATTCTGTAAGTGTCAGAGGTGGGAAAATGTTTAGATATGTTGGGAAATCCAGAGTAATAGTCCTGGCTTCCCTCACTGGCTTAAATCTTTACCAGCTGCACCTTGAAGTTGATGGGTCACTCCAATGAGCTCTATCTGTTTCAAGTGACTTGCACCAGGTGGAAAACTTGACCTGATACTGGCTTCATTTTCTACTCAAGTGAAGGAAATTGTCAATGAGTCTCTTCAGCATGTATCATGGTATTTTTGTGCTTGGTAAACTAGGCTGGGGGATGTCTTTATGCACTTCAATTAATAAACCTGTAAAACTAGGAATTTTCATGGAAATGTTCTTAAAATCAGCCTGGACATATGGGCAACTCCTGCACATGGTCCTATGGACTGCTTTAGGAGCTCAGGATCTCTTTGGGAAAGAGGGGCAGGAGATGGGATGCTTACTCTTGACTGCAGGGTCTGGTCAGTAGCTCAGGTATCTCACCCTGCCATGATGTTTGCGTTCCACTGGGAGATGTTACTGGGAGAAAGGAAGTGGCAGTGGCATCCCTGGCCAGTGACCAGAGTGGAACCAGTTCAGTCCCAGCACTGTGGCTGAAGTCCAGGGACGCTTTGGTGGAGGCAAAGGGCAGACAGTCAGCTGCTCCTGTTTTGACGCTCAAGACACAAATATGGATATGTGACCTACAATGATACCTTAACTTTTTTTTGCTGCTTCTTGACCAAGAATGAGAGTTACAGGGCAGTCCCACATGAGGGAATACTTGGACTAGGACTGGGCATGTCCTAGGAAGGCAGAAAGATGCAAGTGTTTGAGGAGCCAATCTCCAGAATGTGCTGAGTGGTGCAGGCAAGGAAAAAGCAGGTCAGGTAGAGGCGGGTTCCTAATGCTCTCAGGAGGTGGCACAAACCCTCCTTTCCTGCTGTTGCCTAGTTCTGTCTGCTGCTGGTGTCCCTACTACATCTGATTTGATTGTTTTGGGTCAAATCCTGCATCAGTTATGACATGTTTTCTTTTTTTAGACAACATTAGTTCATCGTTTGTTCTCTGAGAGATGTGAAAAACGGAACATTTCCATTTACTGTGCAGCTTCACCCCATGTCTCTGCACCAAGTGTTTTCCTTGGTGGGTCTGTCTGGACTTTGGGACCTCGAGTGCCATTACAGATCCTTCCCAGTGAGTGGATATTGGGCTTCTCTCTTCAGAGTGGCTCTTAGTGGAGCTACAAGGATTTTCCAGCTTTTCAGCCATTTCTATATAGCGTTGGCTGGGAAGGAGAGATGTTGGCTGATGAAATGGGGAGGCTTGGATGAAGGTGCCTGGGTCTGTGGCTACTTGTTAGGGAATGAGTCCAACCAGGAGACGTGATGGCTGGATCCAGCCAAGACCATCATATGTCAGCGCCAGCCCATTGTTGTAGAGCTGCCTCTTCAGTGCTGTTTCGGCCCTCCTTAGGCCAGTTCAACCCCTGTGACCTGGCTTCCCAAATGATCAGCTCAGGGGCTCAAGCCCATCAGTGTCTCCATGGTTTTATTATGAGTACAGAGGGGAAAGGGCTCTGCCCATACCTTGGGGAAGAGGTGAGTAGGCAGTCACAGACTTAGTGGATGAGGATTTTAAGGATAAAGGAGCTTAACTTGTTGCATCTGTGGTGGTCCTCTGAGGGAAGTGTTTGAAAGATGAGAGTGAAGTGCTTGGATGAAGGATGTCTGGAGAAATGCAGGAGGGGTTTGGAAGTGGGGTAGTGAGTACAAGAGCAGAGAGCAGGCTACTGGGAGATGAGGATGTTTGGGTTTGGGGCAGCCAGGACAAGGGAAAGATGGAGAATGAGCACTGCCCACAGGCTGGTGCCGTGGCGAGCTACTGCCCTTTGTATCTGTCCCTCCTGCCAGCATTGCTAGAAACTTTGTCTTCAGGTGCTGGGGAGGTTTAAATCCATGAAGCCAGAAAGAATGAGATAGATCTTACCATGAATTTTATTCCCCAAACTGCCTGAAATTCCTACTCCACGTAGCTTGTGTAGAGCAGAAGCAGGAAACTGTGGTGATTACATGTAATGGTTCTAAAATCTTACCACCTTCATTTCAGAAGACTTAACACTCCCCACTTTCCTGCTCCCAAAAAATCAAAAGAAAAGTTACTTTAAACAGAGCTGCTCTGGGTGATTTTGGATAGATATATTAAGAACTGTCTTGGATAGATATTTTAAGAACTGTTTTGGATACGGTCACCAAAGCTTTGAAGACTTCTCAGATTTTAACAGCTTTCAGAAAGAGAATGTTTGATCTAAACCTGGCAATCTCCATGAAAAAAAAATCCTTGCTCTGAAAAGTCTCCTGGATCCTGTGATGGAAGTCACGCTTCCCTAAAGGCTTTTGCTAGGCCCGAAGATGTGCAGGGGATGCCTGATCTCCTCCCTGGAGCACCCGGCACCGCTTCATCTGCAGCAGCAGGGCTCGGGCTGGGGCAGGCAGGGGACGAGCAGCTGGCAAATCCCTCCGGCACCATCTGCACGGGGGTCTGCAGCAGTGGCAGATTTTTGAAGGACGAGTGCTGATTTATGCTCAGGGTGTCTCATGCTAAGGGTGGGCATCTGGTGCCCTGCAGTATGGCAGTGCCCACCGATGGAGCCTTCGGCTCCACCCCGTGCTGTGGTTGCAGGGGATGTGCCAGGAGTGATGCCTGCCCTCTTTCCGCCTCCCCCCCCCACCCCGACCGGGGGAATTCATTCACTCAGCAGCCGGAAGATGGATGCCTGCAGCGTCAGCAGCAGCTCCCCTCCCCATGCCAGGGAGCCCCGTCCCTGCACAGGCATCACTCCATCCCCTGCTTGGCTCAGGTTACAGCCTCTGGGGAGGGATGGATGGTGTTTGGACAGGCAGCTGGGGCCACTGTCCCTACGTGGGAGGTGGGAAGCCTTTCAGCATCCCTCTGCCTGCAGACTTCTAGCCCGCACTTGCCTGCAGCTCCTCTTGGCTGCAGGACGGGAGCGTGCAGTGGGAGCTGGTCCCTCCCTGCCTGCACTGGGCTGGCACGGCTGTAGCCCCTCAGAGGGAGCAGGTATCCTCAAGGACACAAGTGCTACAGGTCAAACAGAGTTTAGGCTTAGCAGGAGGAAAAGCCTTTCCTCGAGGCACTGCACAGTTATGGAAAGCACAGTTCTTTCCGGCAGATGTCAGCTGGGAATGGAAATCAGCTGCGGAGGCCACGGGGGGACATCACAGGGCTTCTCGGAAACGATCTGCTGGCAGTTCCCGGAATGAAGGGCTGGGCTGTGATAGCTGCCCGTAGGGTATTAGGAAAATCAACCCATCAGCTCCCTGCGGTAAAGACCGTGGGGGCCTCCCGAAGGGCTTGCTTGTGGAACAGCCTTTGGGAAGGGTTGGATTGCTCTTGGCAAAATGTGAGCTTTGCATGGAAATTGTTTTTTTTCATCACCCCTGGAGCAGAAAGAATCCATCACAGGCTCATTCAGCCCAAGGTCCTGCTGCCAAGTATAGCCAGTAGCTAATATTTTATGGAAAATATAAGCAACAGTATCAGTCCCTGATGATCCCATTGCCAGGATACTCTCATGACTTTCTCTCTCCAGTTCCCAGTTTAGGGCTCATTTTCTTCAGCCACAGGTAACTGAGGGCTTTGCACATCTCTAGAAACTGGTTTGGGGATGGTCAGAGCAGCAGCAAAAAGCAGGCTGTGGCAAGAGGTAAGGATGGAGAGCCATGCAGGAAGGGCTTTGGGAGAAAGTTGTGGCTTGGCTTCCTGCAGAAGAGGAGGAACGAGGCACTACCCAACGGAAAGCCAAAGCTGCTGGTGGCAAAATGAGGCAGCAAAGCATGTGGGAGATGCAGGGGCAGTGAGGATGGAGAGAGGGGGTGCTGGGACAGTGCAGAGCAAAAGACCTCAGTGAGGGAGGAAAATAATAGAGTAAAATCCGGTCTGTGGAGGTGTTTGGGCCATGGGGATGGCTGCTGCTCATGGAGGAGAGCAAGAAAGGAAAATTTCTCTGAGACTATTTTCCCAGCCCTGTCTGGTCCCAGTGGGCTAAATGCCTCCAGAGGACCAGGGACCAGAGGACACTGGGGAGCCCCACAAGCAAGGGATGTGGACAGGAGTGTTGCAGAAGGGCAGATTGGGGCAGAGGAACCAAAGCAATACGAGATTTGGCATACGCTGCTTTTCTGGAAAAAAGGCATTTTGGATTGGCCAAAACCTGGGTGAATTCCTGCTGATATGTCTCTGCTGCTAGACTTTCACTCCTGCTATAGGACCTTCATAGGAGCGGGAGTAAGCTGGGCTTAGGCATTGCTATGGGCTGCCAGCATCTCTGGCTGGTGCAAGGAGGAGGTTTGGGGTCCTGGTCAGCCTTGAAACCTGTGGGTTGGCAACTGGGAAGTATCCAGGATAGGTAGGGAGTGCCCTGTCTCTGCCCTGTCACTACTCCAGAGTCATTGAGTCTGGACACTTTGGATATTCCTGGAAAGTCCTGACTGGCCTCATGCCAGGGATGTCCATAGGAGCTGAACCCCCTTGCATTCTGGGATGCTGGGGGCTGGTGGGGTGAGCCCTGGGGACTGGTGGAGGTGCCGAACTCCCTTCCTTTGGCCACAGGGAAAGCCGGCAGGGACATGTGCAGAAGATAAGTTTTGGGTGCCTGCCTTGGGGCTTTGAACAACTGCTGAGCATATTGACTATAGCTGAGACATGACATGATCATTGAAAACTTCCATCCTGTGTCTTGGGAGTTGGCTTGGCTGTGCCAGGAGCCCTGTGTGAAGTGCAGGAACTCATGCTGCCTGCTGGCTTGAGCAGTTTTTACATGAAAACTTCTCTTACTCTGAGCTAGAGCTGTTGTGGGTGAGCGCTGAGGGCTGTGGCTAGCACTGGTCCATGTGGGACTCACATGCTGATCCAACACTGCTGCCAGTGGTGGGAAACGTGGCTGTGTGCCCGGCCTGCTGGCCAGCCAGTCACACACATCATGATGTCATTCTACTGAAAAGGCAGGTGACATCTGTTGTCAAGTGACATTTGTAGGACACTGAGCTGACTGTGATGCAACCAAGGTTGTTTCTGTTCAATGGAAAGTTTCAGATCAACTTACAGGCTGTGACACCATGTGAAATGCTGAGAGCTCCATGGAAGGGAGAGCTGTTCTCCAACCATAGCCTTGGTCTCATCAAAACATCCCTCTTCACATAAAAGTGACGGAATGCTCACCTTCTCCTCCTGGCCAGTGTTACAGGAGATGAGCGTGTGATCCACACTCCTCTGTTCAGGAATGAAGTGCTGGTATTTTTTTCTCAAAAATAGCCCTATTCCTAAGAGTGATAAAAGTCTGAGATAAGCCCATCAAGTTTCCGTTGTTTGTTTCTGCTGTGTGATTTAGGAATGTGGTGAGCCCAGAATAGCATCTGTCCTGGTCTGTTGGAGCGTTTTGGTTTGCTGCTGATACCAGGCTGGCTGTGCTCCTGGCTGGAATGTTTCATACCCTCCATCTCCTCCCCAGGGTTCCCGCAGCCGGAGGTGACATGGTACAAGGATGATGAGGAGATGGATCGCTACTGTGGCTTACCCAAGTACGAGATATTCCGTCATGGAAATCGCCACACCCTGCAGCTGTACAAGTGAGTAAAGGAGCTGGAGAGGGGCTGGATTTGGTGGTGGAAGCTCTGAGTGTGTTCTCAGTAGCTGGAGGAGCTGTCAGCAGTGATGTCCCCCCAGCACCTGTGCTGGCCCTTTCTGCTCCCCACTGCAAGTTCCTGGCTGTCCCTTCCCCTCCAGCTCTTCGCTCTGGTGACTCCCCAGTCATACAAGTATGAGATCCATTACTGCATCCAGGGATAGCTGCCATGCTGCAAGCAACAGGAAAGGCAGGATAAATCCTTCTCTCTGGAGCCTTCCAGTACTGAGCAATAGGGCTGGACAAAGGTGACCAATGGCAAAGCACTGTCTGCCCCCAGGATGATGGTCCAGGGAGTCAGGCAGGACAAGGACAGAAACAGTTCACAGGAGTGTCCTAAGCTACAGCCCTGTCCCGTTCCTAGCTGTCACCATGGAAAGGGCTGCTTTGGCACTGATGAATGGAGGCAAGGCCCTCCTTTATCCAGCCCTGACTACCAGCTTCTTTTAACTTTAAGCGAGGACTATGTTTCTGAAGAGCCAAGCACACTGTATCTCCAGCAGGCAGGGACCTCTGCACCTCAAGTCCTGCAACTGGGATGTCGGACAGGTGCAGCAGTGACAGAAAACGCAGAATATCAGTGTTGCTGATTGTCCTGTCATCCTTGTGCTTCAAGCCTGGGCTTTTCTGCTGCCCCAGGTGTACTCCAGATTTCTGTCAGAGGCTGGCTCACCTCTTGCAGGAGCAGGGATCTCCATGGGCCAGGTGTCCTCGAGGGGTGACAACAGGGATGGCAGGCACGTGTTTGTGCTGCTGCCTGTGACATGGGGTGGGAAGGCTTTGGTAAGGCAGTACAGTGGAGGAAGAACAGGTTTCATGTAGGCTGTGAAGAGCTGAGAGGAGAAGGTTCTGCAGAGGAACGTGACCAAGAACAGTTGGGAAGCCTGGTGCTGCCTGTTCCTCCTCCATCACAGCCCTCTCTTACCAGAGTTACAACCCAGGGTGGAGCTGGGCACGGATTTAACATCAAACCTCCTTGCCTGTTAGTACTGAGAGAGCGCAGAGCTGGGGAGGGAGACCAGCCCCAGGCCTCCACACATTCTGTGGGCATCTCATGGGCCACATCTTCATTTTCTGGCCTCCCTGGAGCAGGAGGTGGGAGAGCAGGCAGGGAATGCCTGTGTGCCCAGTGGGAATCCTGGGGAGGATGGGTAGGTCTCATGCACAGCTTTTGGTTTCCAGGTGCCGAGAAGAAGATGCAGGCATTTACCAGGCCTCAGCTAGAAATACCAAAGGCATCGTGTCCTGCTCTGGTGTGCTGGAAGTGGGAACCATGACGGAATTCAAAATCCATCAGAAATGGTTTGACAAAATAAAGAGAAAAGCTGAAGAAAAGCTGCAAGAGATAGAACAGGGCAAGAAACGAGGAAAAGAAAACGTGGAGGTGGAGAAGTTGCAGGGAATGAGCCCCGAAAGGCTCCAGAGGAAGCGGAGGCTGGCTAGGGATCAGAATCTTCAGTCGGGAGACTCTTCATGGGAGAAGGAAGATGCAGCGAAAGTGCACGTCGCGGATTCACAGTCCAGATTGCACAAGGATATTGCTGAGACACAGGAGCAGCCAGTCAGTGCAGTGAGGGGCTTCTCGAACAAACTGGTAGCACCTCTGAAAGCAGAGGTGACAACCAATGGAGATGCCACTTTGGAGACTGGGGAGGAGAACGGGAACAGCTTTCTCACGTATATCTATGAGACAGTGGAGGACCTGGCGACTAAGCCAGGGGCAAAAGACTCTGCAGCTAAAAAGAAAAAGAAGGTGGGGGCTCCTTCAGCAGCAACGCAGGAAGCTTCCAAGCGAGAAGAAAGTGGGAGAGACAGGGCCAATCCTTCCTCAAATCCCAGGTTTGCCCCTCCTGTCCCCTTACGTAGGAATGCACGTTTGAGGGCGGCAAAGGATCAAGAAGTGGAAACCAGTCTGAAAGTCAAAGAGCCTGAGAAAGCTGTGAATCAGGACACTAAAACCAGTGATGACGTGTACTTCTCATTAAAGGACATGTATTTTGATAAGCAGGTGAAGCCAACAGCAGGGAAGGAGGAGGTGGGAGCCAAGGATGAGGCCGGGAGCGAGACTGCCCTGCGGCCAGTGGCCATCAGCAGACAGACAGAGGATGCTCCATTGTCCTCTGAGGTGTCAGAGGCAGGACCTGTGCTGTCCGAGGGACAGAGAGGCCAACACCAAGCACAGAAGTTGGAGGGAAACAAAGAGGTAACTAGGAGAGAGAGCAGCCAACGCAGGGGTGGCAACAAGAAAATACCTTGTGCTGCAGGGTTGTGCTGTGGCACCACGCGTGGGAGGCTGCGAGTGCCCCGTGGGATCTGCTGCCGAGGCTCCACAGCTCTCCACTGGTGAAAGCACCCAGGGAAAGGGCTTTCTGGACTTTGTGTGCCCGGAGAGCAGAGCTTCCACCCCATCTCCAAACAAATGTCAGCTGAGGTGGTGAGAGATGTAAGCCGGGGCCATGCGAGCAGCTGGTCTCCGGGTGGCCTGGGGTGGCTGTGAGCTCTGCAGTTTAATCGGCAGCCTGACCTCATGCGAAATGTTTTCAGATCAGTTCAGCAGGCAGCACTGAATGGCTATTTATAGCTGGGGGTGGGGGCCTTGTGCGTAGACAGATGAGGCCAATGGCATCTGTTCAGTTTAACAAGGGAGCCGGAGCTTCAGCGGCGCTTAACGAGCCCCCCCATGCAAATGAGCACAGTGTGCCAGGTACAACACATGAGCTGCGCCGCAGGGACTCAAGGTTTGTTTACAGTGCAACATGTATACAGTAGGTCTGGACTGGTTTTTTGGCTCTTCCCTGTTGGAAAAACTCTGTTGAGAGACTCATTGTGGTGGTGATGAAGCGCCAGGGCACAGCACCTGCTCCTGACCCTCAGCGCATCTTTTAGTCAACTGCTATTTTTGTCGCTTAACCTGAAATATTTTCCATGAAAATATTAGACTGGAACCTACCAGACTATTTTTTACCTTTTTTTCTTTAATGATCCCTTCTGTGGTAAAAGGTTCTCAGAGTCCAGTTTGCTATCAGGATCTGGAGTTTGGGCTGTGGTAGGTGCACGCTTTTGGTACAGACAAGACTTCAGGTACAGCACCTCTCCCTTGGTAGGTAATGCACATACTTCAGGATGTGGAAACATACACAATACAGAAAGTGGGATTGCTGGGTGCCTCAGTGGAAAAAAAGCCCAGACCTTTTTTCCTCATTTAGATTTCTTTAGCCACAGGTAGGAGGAGCTTTGCTGGTAAGAATCTGCTGTTTTATGCAGTGACCATCTCTGTTCTGGCCTTGCCACTGCACAGCACCCTGAATCCATCTCCAACCTGACCCACAGCATCACATATTGCTGCAGAAATTATTGCTGTGTAGGCCAGCCTGTGGCAAATCCATTTTTTCCCCCCTCTCTGCTCTCTTTTACACCCCTTGCTCTCAAAGAGGGTGGAAGATATTGGAGTGCAGCAGCCAGGCTTGGGCTGTCATCCCTGAGCTTTTGACGTGCATCAAGGTATTTTTCTCTTCAAAATCCCACTCACAGAGGGAAACCTGTGACTTGTCAGCTGGTGTGCCTTTGAGGAGACAAAAGGGGATGCTCTTGATTTGAATTTGAATCCTTCAGCTCCTTGGTGCTGCTGGGGAAAGTCCTCAAGCTTTTGTGAGACCAAATAAGCTGTTTTAAAGCCCTTTAAGGCTGATTCCAGGCATGTTTGAGGATATTTTCACTCCTCAGGACACGGGTTACTTGTCTTTTTCTCTTTTATTCTTCTCTTAAACAAGACAAGGTCGTAACATGGGTATTATCCTGGCCTGGGGACCTAACTGGCCCTCATGCTCAGGACTTCTCTTTTGAGCTGGATTTGACTGTAGCAAAACGCCAGACCCTATGGTCTGAAGCCAGTTTTTGAGCAACCTCTTTAAGCATCCTCCTCCGTAAGAGCCAAGAAGAAACTGGATTTGCATGATGATCACTCTTGCTCAAATTTTGAACTGATGATTTTATTATATTTCTTGTATATGGCCCTAATTTTGAGTGATTTACAATTACTTAAAGACAGATGCTTTCCTGAAAAGCTCCCAGAAAGCTTTTCTGACTGAGCTTTAGCTCGTGCACTGGTAATAAGCAAATTTCCCACAAGCCCTGAGCCCTCTTCAGCCAAAGAGTTGTCCCCATTGACCAGCACCACTGTACAGAGCCACCACTGTGCATCCACCTGTGAACCAGCAGCCCTGACCCACCTGGAGTCCCCCTGGTTCAGCCCCAGAGTGGAGGGACCAGGGCTGGCCCCTCCTTTAGATTGGGCTATTCCCATCCCCATCCCTTTCTGTGTCATGGAGGATCAAATACTGTGGTAAAATTGAGAGGGGTTTCACTGCATGAGTTGTGTCAGTCTCTTAAAATCAAACCTTTTAAGCCTGAGTGCTGGACTGCTCTGTGTTGTGACACAGCCCTCTGAGGCAGGATAAGGACATGACTCCAAGGGAACAGCAGCAGGGACCTGTGGCATCTGGGGGTGCCTTGTGCAACCCTGAGAACTGGGGCCCCATTTCTGCACATCCTGAGTGTGGAGACTTGAATTTTGTGGGCAGGAGTGGCCCCTAATGGTGCTCGTCCCAGCCCAGCCCTCCGATACTCACTTTGTCCTAACAGTCAAAGGTGGACTTTGGACAAAGGCCTGGAGTGATAGGACAAGGGGGAATGGCTTCACACTGACAGAGGGCAAGGTTAGATGGGATATTGGGAAGGAATTGTTGGCTAAGAGGGTGGTAAGGCCCTGGCCCAGGTTGCCCAGAAATGCTATGGCTGCCTATCCCTGGAAGTGTTCAAGGTTGGGTTGGATGGGGTTTGGAGCAACTTGCTCTAATGGAAGGTGTCCCTGCCCATGGCAGGGGGTTGGAATGATGTGATCTTTAAGGTCCCTTTCAACCCAAACCATTCTATGATTCTACAAATTCCTCTGGGAAGGGCTTGCTGAGAGACTGGTGCTACCTTTCCTCTTTTTCCCAAGCTATCAAACGAAGCAGAGGCAGCACAAAATAGAAGGTCCAAGTGCTACAGCCCTCCTTTGCCACAGCCTCCATTTGGGAGGCTTAAAGCTCAAGTCAGGGACCTCAGGAGAAAATCCTTAGCAGCAGATCCTTGGGGACCTGTTGTGTGCATGCCCTATCCCCATGCGATTGTCCTGGTGTTGCTCACAGAGCATCAGCCAGGCAGGGCGTGTATCTCTGCCTTCCCCACAGAAATAGATGGTGCCCCTTGGCTGGAGAATCTCAGCAGATCTCCTCGGGATAGAGCTCAGCCGTCGCAGCAGGCAGCTCCCTGACAATGTCTGCTGGTGTGTAGCTGCGGTCGGAAACTTCGGAGCTTCCCAAATGTCAGAGGAACAGAATGGTTGGGCGGTGCTGATAACACTGTCATGGTGTACAGTTTCTCTATAAATCACTTGGTCAGCCTCATCCAGATAGTGTCTGACATCCCCATTGCCCCATCTTGGAGTGGAGGTAGGGGAGCACCAAATATTTAACAAAAGCAAGGGAATTACACAAGGTCTCGGCAGTGGCTGGGGAAGAGGGAAAAGTTTTGCTCTTGGGAAGGTGCTGAATTCAGAGGAGGTTGGATTAGAAGCCACTGAATGATTTAGAGAGGCAGCTCTCCTGCCTGTCTGTACACAGCAAAGGCATTGAAAGGCAGAAGGGTTGGAGCTGGTGAAAAGAAAACACATTTTATGCAGCAGGTGGGACCCCTTCCTGTGGGATGATGGCAAAGCCAGGAGACCTGGATGGGTATCAGCAGCGTCAGGTTAATACTCATGATTCAGAAATTGGGCGGTGCCATATGGTACAGGTGGACCACAAGTATGACTGAGCAGACCCATGTGGTAAAATTATGCTAATTTTCTTTTTTTTTTTTTTTACTAGATTGCAGCAACAGTGGGACAGTCGCCTGGTGATCTAAAACACCCAGTGTCTTGTCCAACCACAGAGTCTGGTCAGCAAGCCAGTAAGTTAGAGGAGGTCAGAAAGGAGGTGCCTGTCTGCCAGGAAACCAGGGGGGCTGTGAAAATGACAAATCCTCGGCTGAGGCCTCAGGAGCCACCAAAGCCAACAGCACCTTCTCCAGACCACGTACAGTCCGGCAAGGAGCACCCACCCCCCAGGAAACAGGCAGAAAGACATTCCCGTGCTCTTGAGGGCAGAGAGACTCAGCAAGGACTGTTAAATCAAGAGAACAAAAGCCAAGGCAGGGAAGAGCCATCGCTAAAAAATTTGAGTCCTTCAAAGGATAAAACTGGAGAAAACACTGGAGAAAATGTTTCTCATGAGCAAATCCCACATCAGACAGTCAAGGATGGGAAGAGCAAAGAGGCAGGAGCAGAGCTGTCTGAGAGCCATCCCGGTGTGAGGACAGGAGGGAGTGGTGAAGCAGAGCCATGTCATGGGGCTGTGCACAGGGAGGCAGGAGGGACAGTTTTGGGGCAGCAGGACACTGAAACAGCAGCTCCTGCATCAGTTCCACTTGCCAAGGAAAAACTGCTTCCTGCTCCTGCAGCAGAGCCATTGGTGGCTCAAGAGGCACTGCTGACAGCTCATGGAGCCCCAGGGATGGAGGCTACCACAGGAGAGGTCCCATCTGGACCCCAGCTGCTTCCTCCTGTGAGGGGAGAAATGGAAACCACAAAGACAGATGGATCAGCCCCGCAAGAGACATTTTCAACCAGCATGTTAGGAGAGGAGAATGCCAAACCAGTGCCCGTGGGACCTCAGGGGAGGGAAGGAGGAGAGCAGACAGCCACAGCTCCATGCCAAGGACCAGCAGCACCTCCAGGGGCTTTTGAAGGAGGTGCTGAGGTCCAGCCACAGGTACCGCTGGTCCTGCCTGGCCCCGAGAGATGTCAGGAGATGTCTTTGGAGGAGAAAATGCAGCACAAAAACCTGGTTTCCTCCTTAAAGAACTACCTGCTGCTGCTTCTAAAAATGTCAGATAGCAGTAAGGATGCCACGAAAGGAGACACTGACTCTGGGGACAAGGAGCAGTCAGATGCGGGGGAAGGCATGATGCCAGAGATAGGCATTGCTGGGCTGAGCCCTCGCACCTCAAGGAGAGTTTTGGAAAAGGTACAAAACAACCAGCTCTTTCAGACAGCAGAGAACTTGCCTCTGACCCCCAGGACATCCAGGCGGATCACAGGCATGATCAACGAGGAATTTGTTCTCAGCCAGGAGATGCTGGCTTGCAGGCCTGTGCCACCAAAGAAACACGCCTGGGTTGCCCCCAAGGCCGAGGGGCCACCCCTGCTCTCTGTGCCCTCCATCGTGGTGGGCAGCATGCCAGCATCAGGAGCAGGGCAGCCTCCTCACTCTTCTGATTTGCCTCCAGTGAGCTCTGGAGAGAGCCCTGGTGACCCTCTGGCAGTGCTACCTTGTGCCACGCCAGAAGAGCTCGCTTTGGGAGCCCGACGCAAAATATACCTGCCAAAACCAAAACAGGTGGGGGAGGAAGAGGAAGCAACCCTGGAGAGCCCAGGACACATGAGAAGTCCGACTGTTTCGCCACAGCAATCCAGGAAGAACACACCCCTGTTGCATTCTCCTGCCCTGGCTCCATCCTCTCCCACAGAGCAGTGCTCTCCAACCCTCACGAGGAAGATGGCTACGTTGGAGGTTCCTAAGCTGTACGAGGAGCCTGCAGGTGACACCAGTGGTGACCACGAGGTCCCTGGAGATGCTAAGCCGGAAGCACAGCGAGCAGAGTCCCAGAAAGCAAATAACCCATTTAAAGGTGAGGGAGGAGCTAATCCCCATAAACCGTGTTCTGTTGTTGCCTACAAAGGGAGCTGGTGATAGTGAGTTGGGGCCACATGAGTTCTCTGCACTTGCAGGGTTTTCAGCATTGTCCTTTGGCTGTGTGAAAGCCAAAAGTCTCCCCCAAGACTTCTGCCCAGTGCAGGGAGGGTGGAGGAATGCAAGAGGCAGCAGCACTGAGACTGGCTGTCTCCACAGCCTGGACTTCCCTGGTCCAAGGGATCATAGAATCCTCTTGTTTTTGGTCTCCATGTTCTGGTCCTCACCAAACCTGATGCTGATTGGGAATCCTGAGCAACCTGGGCTAGTGGGAAGTGTCCCTGCTCATGGCAAGAGGGTTGGAACAAGATGGTCTTTAAGGTCCCTTTGAATCCAAACCATGATTCTCATTCAGTGGGCATCAGCGAGGTGCACACTCCTCTTCAATATCCATGGTCAATGCTAATTTGATCCCTCGTGGCATTGAATTAGAAAAGGTATAATCCTGGAGTTGAAGCAGATGATGCCCTCACAGGAAGCAGCACTCTTGCAAAGTAAGAAAAACCTTAATAAATCCCCACTTCAGCAGATAAATGTTTCCTCCAACATTCCATAGTGTTTTCTGCATTGTGTCTGACCAAGCTCCACTGGGTATTGCAGTGCTGCACTGTTGAATGAATTTGTACCACTTCTATCCCACCTTATTTATCCAAGCGGAGTTCCGAGACCTTCCCTGGGAGGGCAATGTTCTACCAGGCTGTGCTGACACGTGTGTGATACCCAACACCAAAGCCCTGAGCAGCAGCATTGGGGTAGGCTGGCCTGTCCCTGGAGCTGCAGCCAGCACTCTGTGTCTCACCATCCATCTCTTTACACCCTGTCCTTAGTTCCACAGGTGGTCCGTAAGATCAGGGCAGAACAATTTTCCGATGCATCAGGAAACCTGAAACTTTGGTGCCAGTTCTTCAATATATTGAGTGATTCTAAGCTGATGTGGTACAAGGACGAGATCCCTGTAGCTGAAGCCCAAAGGAGGTAACTTGCCAGCTCTGCATCGTCGTAGTCCTTGTGTGTCACCTGCTAAATCCAGCTCCTTGCCTTGACTGGGGTGTGAAAGTGCCCCTCTCTTAAGGCTGCATGGGAAGCTCAGTGCATGGCACGGTACGTTGTGAACTTCATCTTCTCAGTGCCCTTGGAGGGAAAGATCACCCAGATGGGGAATTGCTGCCAAATTTGTCCTATTGATGCTCCATCTGGAGTCTGTGCTTTGAGTACCCAGACCTTGGGGAGGGCAGGGAAGGTATTGTGCCCATCGCAGTAACTGAAGGGTGGATGTAAACTGCAAAACAGTGACCCCAAATGATCCATGTGAGGGTGGCAGCGGTGCTAGGAGGGTGTTCGATGCAATCACCGCTGGCAAAAGCAGCTCTGCCCGTGCCCTCTTTATCCCTTGGTATTGCCATTGTGCAGGGAGAGCATATTGGGACATATGGGTGGTTGGTTGTATCCTGGATGCTCCTTTGGGTGCACTATGGAGAGCAAGTTGTTCTCAAGCCCAGAGGATTTGTGTAGGAACATCATGTGCATCAGTTAGGATTTGCCTTTGAGTGTTGCTTGATCTGCCTTTATAATGAGCAGGCAGAAAGAGGTGATTCTGGGGCAGAAATGCTCTTTTGTGGCAGATCTTTGAGCTGGGGCAGATGGACCAGGAGTGGCCATTGCCTTCTAGGGGACCAGAGCAGAGCCTGCTCAGGCAGCAGGTCTCAGGATGAGGGTCCCAGCTCTTACTTTTGCAAAGCCCTGACCCAGCCTCACTCAGAGGCAAGTACCTTTATCAGTCTGTAGCCCAATCCTGGCCAGATTTTGCAGGGCTTGCCTGGAGGAGGAGCATCTCTGTGAGTACAAAGCACAGGGCAGGACTCCAGGTGCCATGACGTGCCAGGGGAGCAGCTGGGATACCCTTGAGCTGGCTTTCTTTGTAGCTCTCTTCCAGCCCCCTGAGGGCAGCAGGGTGCTCACCTGCAGCACCTGTCACAGGGCTCCTGTGTGCCCCCACACACCATACAGGGCTGAGGCCACACTCCATTTTTTTCCCAGTGCTGGCGACGAGGGCCAGGCAGCTCTGGCTGTTGTGCAGGCGTCCCAGAAGGACTGCGGGGTCTACCGGTGCGTGATCAGCAACGAGTACGGCACCGACTCCACCGATTTCCTGCTCAGCCCAGAAGGTGAGGAGCCCTCAGCAGCCTCTCCCATCTGCCTGGCTGTGCTATGGGGTGGTGTGCCCAACTGTGGAGAGGGCTTGGTGTCAGGCTGTAGCAGGGGAGCCTTGCATATCCGTAATATCCCTTGCATATCCCTTGCATACCACCTCTGTGAGGGGCATCTGCCTCTGTGTACTAATTTATGAGCAATTCCCACCATCCTACTTGCCATCCCTAGTCATGCAAGTGCATGGGGCAGGGTGGAATCCTGTCAGGACCTTGACACCTCTTTGCTTTCTGTCTCCTCTAGTGTTGTCAGGATTTAGCCTGCGGGAAGAGATTGAAGGTAAGGGCCATATGTGATGAGCTGTGACCACTGCCCCTCGCTGTGCAGGGGACGGGCAGCTCTGTGGAAGGGGCAGGACGTGCCCACGTTGTCCCCACTCACCAGCACTTCCCCCCAGCAGTTGGAGAGGAGATCGAGATGACGCCCATGGTGTTTGCAAAGGGTTTGGCCGACGCAGGCTACTGGGGGGATAAGCTCTTCGGGCGCGTGGTGAGCGAGGACATGGAAGTGGGCGCTGGTTTCCTGCGCAAAGCCTGCCGTGCCAGAGCCATCTACGGCCTGGAGCCCATCTTTGAGTCTGGCCACACCTGTGTCATCAAAGTGCACAATTTCATTGTCTTTGGGACCAAGAATGAGAACAGCCTCATCGAGAAGAACTACGATATCACCATCCAGGTGGGCATCCTTGTGGGGCACCATCCACCTGTCTCCCCTCCACCCTCCCCATCTGTGTAGGTTGGTCCCCAAACAGTCCCCAGCTCTGTGCCCACTTTTGCTATTTCCTTCCACTTTTGGAATGCTCTGAAGAGCAGTGGTCTGGTCATGTTCTTGTCATTCTTGGCTTCAGCTCTTCTCTCTGAGCAACACAGAGCTGCTTGGAACCTTCCCATTACTTGTCCTTTGACCACCAAGACAGGGAAACAACTGGCAGGGGTCCCAGGGAGGTGTTGGTGCGAGACAGGACAGGTCCTTGACTCTTCTGTTTGCACCTCCAGGAATGTAAAGTCCAGAACTCCAGCCGTGAGTACTGCAAGATCTTTGCTGCCGAGGCACGAGCCGTCCCTGATTTTGGAGCAGTGCCCGAGTAAGTAAGGTGCTGCAGCTCCACTGGCTTGATGCCCTGGCAGAGCATCCCAGGAATTGTGGGAGGGTTCCCTGTGGGCGCTGGGGCATCCCAAGGGACAGTGCACTGTTCTCCCACCCTCAAACAGAAGGTATATTAGGGGAAGGCAAAAGCCAGGGATGCAGACCATGGTGTGAACCTCTGCTTGCAGTGGTGTGAGAGCTCACCATGCTGACCCCATCTGTGCTCTCCCACACAGGATAATTCCACTGTACCTGGTTTATCGACCGGCCAACAACATCCCTTATGCCACAATGGAGGAGGACCTGGGTGGGCCCTGTGAGCAGTACTGTGTCACCGAGAGAGATGGCAGCTTGGTAGCAAGAGGCACCTCGGAGATCGTGCTCAAATGCTGTACCTTCCAGCACTGGGTCTACCAGTGGACAAATGGAAACATCCTTGTGACTGACATGGAAGGTAAAGGGATCTCCTGTCTGACTCCTGTGGCTCCTCACCACCCTCCGGCCTGGGAAAGGAGGAAAAAAAGCCCCAGCCTTGCCCTCCTGCCTCTCTCCCCACGTGCCGTGGAGCCCAGCTCCCAGGGCAATGACCTGCCCTTGGTGCCAGTGCCCATCCTTCTCTGGACAGAGCCTGATTGTCCTTCCTTTAATTGCAGGAGTGGGCTGGAAGTTGACCAATGTGCGGATCGCTACCAACCTGAAAGGGTGAGTGACCCCGAGCTGCTGGGGCAGCAGACCCAGCTCTGCTGCTCACCTGGCAAAGGGCCATGGTGGTCAGTGTGGTCGGGCTCCATCCTCGGCTCCCTGCTCTGATGGGACATCTCCTGGTGCAAAACAGGGGCTGAGAATGACTGTGTTGGCAGGTACCAGGGCCTGAAGGAGAGCTGCTTCCCCTCCCTGCTGGAGCAATTCCCGGCTGCTCACCGGTGCAATCATTACTGCAGCATCCTGGGCCTGAAGACACTGGAGCCAGCCAAGCCCAAGGGCTCCAAGAGCCCCTCCCTGGGCAGGAAATCTGCCCAGTCCAGTCCCCAGCTCCAGAAGAAGGCACTGTCAAGTCCTCAGGGCACCCGCAAGGCTGCTGTGAGCCCCAAGAGCTCCCGGAGAGCTGCAGGAACAGGGGAGGCCCCGACAGGCTCCAAACCCAGGTTGGGAGAGAGCAGCAGGGCTGGCTGCCCGCAGTAGCCGGAGCTGCTGCAGCTGGGAACCCCGCTCTGGACCCAGCCTGAGCAGCCCCGTGGCCAGTCTGGAAAAGGGAGATCCTGGCAGTGGTCTCTGCCAAAACTCTCCTCCCTCCAGCCCTGCCCTGGCCCGCAGCACTTGCGTTGTGTGGTGTGTGTTAGTGTGAGCGGCTGGACCGGGGCTGTGGGGGGCTGTGAGCTGTGGACAGCAGGGATCCCTCACCAGTACCTCTCTACAAGAGCTGCTGCTGCTGGTGGAGCCTGTGGGGCCACGTGCCCCTCCACACTGGGACTCGCTTTCCTGTCTTGACTCTCTCCATGTGCCTTCCTTAAGGCAGGGGCAGAGCTGCTCCCTTGGGCTTTGCAGGTGCCATGCCCCTGCCTGGCTCCCCCAAGCAGACTGGGAGTCTGGGATGTCCTCTTGGCTCCCAGCACCTCATGTCCCTCTCTGTGTCCTCCATAAAGTGACCAGGCCAAGCCCTGCCAGTGTTCTGTCCCTTGAGAACCCCAACAGCACCCAGGCAGTCCCATTTGCCCTGGTACACTGTTTTTGCTGCAGAGGGTTTCAGTGGTGGCTGCAGGGCTCCTCTGCTATGACGTGGGGCTCTGAAGTGTGTGCCAGTCCCACTGCGGGTACCAGCAGCTGCACAGGGAAGGGATTTTGCATCCCTCCCCTCCCCTGTGCCCTGTGGGAAGTCTCCCACGCCCTTGCTGGGTGGCTGCTGAGGGTGATGGTGCTGCTATGGTGCTGGCCAGCGCCATGGTAAGAATGCTCTACCTCACATGGGATACCCAGGATCAGTGACCTCCTCTCCGTGCCAGTCTCTGCCTTGGCACATGTGGGTGTCCAGCCCTCAGGGCTTGCTCCTCTTTGTCCCCCTGCCATACAAAGATCCCATATACCACGCCCAGCCCCACACCATGACCTGGTCATGCTTAATTAGCACCACCCCTGCTTGGCACATGCCAGACTCCAGCGGCAGCTGGCAGCACGCACTCCAAATCCTGCTGCCCCGTGGCAGGAGGCAGTGATGGACAGGCAGTGATGTTCATGCTGTTCAAGTAAAGCACCCTGCATTGCATCAAGCTTCCCTTGTGCCTGTCAGCTCACCCAGGCGTGCAGCAGCCGGCGGAGTGTGGCAGTGGGCAGGGGCCTCACAGAGAGCCCAGCACTGTCAGCTTCATTGTGCTGCAGAGCATCACCTTCCCTGGGGCTTTGGAACAGGGTGCTGGGTGCCAGTGACACCCCCCTGCATGGTGGGGTCCCAAACAGTGACTCAGTGCAGCCTGGCAGAGGGAAGCAGCTGGGCTGGGAGCACCGTGCACGCTGGGGCCCTGGTCCTTTCTCGCTGGGTGATTGTAAAATACCGATGTACATAACGTGGCCGCATTGGCGACTGGGTGCTCTCGAGTGCAATAAAGTGAGGAGGACTGGCCTGTTCCCCAGCACTGTGGTCCCTGTGGGAAAGATGCACCCAAGCAAGGGGTGATGGGGCAGCTTTGTGCTTGGAGGAAGGAAACATCTTCAAGTACCACCTCTACCCCCATCCATGCCCCACGGGGAGAAGAGGGTGGCTGTGGCCAGACCCCAAAGCTGGCAGTGGGTGAGGCTTGGCTTGCAAGGTCTGCAGTGAGCATGGGGTGCAGCCTCAGCAAAGCACCTTGTGCTGTGGTGGAACAGCTGCAGGTGGGGGCCAGAGGGGGTCTGAGGGCAAGCACATAGGGATGACCATAATTTATTTGGGAGCAGCTTCCTTGTGTCCATGGGGCCAGCACCTAAGGGTGCTGGTTGCAAGGTGCACACAACTGTCCATCAGCACTTTGGAGTGGAGAAGACAAAATGCTCAGGTGTCTGTCAGGGTTTTTTCTACCTTTGGGGCCAGCCTTGCAGACCCTGGTGCCCCTCCCGTGGTTCTAGGTTGTCCCTGCACAGGATGTGTGGTTGTAGTGCCCACAGCACTCCATCAGCCACAGCACACTCTCCGCCTGCCCAGCCCAGGATCCTGTGAAGGAGAGTGTCCCGTTCTCGAACACTGAGCTGGAAGGAGAGACATGTGGTCAGGACAAGTTGTTGCCCCACCACCTGGGTCCCAGACAGCTCTGGGGCCCTTCATACCTACCTGGCAAAGAGCTGCTTGCAGCAGGTGTATATGGTGTAGCTGGTACTGTTGAAGTTGGCTGTGCTGAAGAATGTCACACAGTCACCCACCTCCGTTGGCACATAGAGGAGACCTGGGGGACAAGGTCTCCTATTGGGACTTGAGAGGGACCATGGATTCAAATCCCATACCCCAAGCATACCTGTAAGTCCTGTGTCCCAACTCTGCTCACAAATCCCATAGCCCAACTAGTGAATCCTGTACCTGGGACTGTGCAGGTCCCACGAGCTATCCCACCTCACTCCCTGAAACTGCAGGGAGCTCCTTGCAGTACGCCAGATGTTGCCCTTGATATGTCCCCATCCCAGCCCAGATGAGGACGAGGGGCCCCAGGAGAGCTGTTGGGCTTCGGCAGCCCCTGGCAGAGCCATGAGGGGAGAACAGGGTTTGGAGGCCTTGGCAGAGCCATGGGGAGGACAGGCCAGCCACCCCCATTCCTGAACCTGCATCTATAGGGGTCTTCAGCCCTGTGCATGTCCCTCCCCAGCTCCTTCTGGCCCTGCTGGCAGTGGGCAGGGACCTACCTGCCAGGCAGGCGTTGAGCATGGAGACGCAGATGCCAGTGAGCAGGGCCCGCAGCACCACGGAAGCAAACTCACCCTTGCGGTGAGGTGCCAGGGAGCCTGTGGGGCAAAACAGAGACCAGGGGGAGTCAGATCTTGACTCCAGCTCTGCCCTTGGCTGGGTACAGATGTGTCCCTGGTCCCCAGTTGGCTCTGCCACACAGTGCCCTCCCCACACCAACTCCTGCTGTCTGGAGGACATGGTGGTCCCAGCCAGCACCCAGCACACTGTCTGCCTGTCCTGGCAGCGGTGGGTGCTGGCAGAGTGCTGTGCCCACCCTGCACCCACGGGTGATCAACCAGAGCCCTCAGTGCTCCCAGCATCAGAGTCTCTGCTCTTTGCACCATAGCTGGGTGACACCCAGGCTTGTGGGACATGCATGTGCTCTTGCCCATGGGTGCAGTGCAAAGCCATTCCTTTCACATCATGCAAATCCTGTTTCTTACCTGGCAGAGACCAAACATGGAGGCTTGAGGGCAAATTCCTCCTGCCCCAGATGAGCCCTTGCTCCCTAGCCCAGGATCCCCCCTGCCTTGTGCCTAGGCACCTAGGACATGAGTTACACTCACCCAGGCTTCCCAGTATGATCCCAATGGAGCTGAAGTTGGCAAATCCACAGAGGGCAAAGGTGGTGATGCTCTCAGCTCGCTCCTGGAGGGCACAGGGGGACGGTCACCTCTGCCCAGGAGCAGCCCCAGAGCACCCAGAGCTGAGCACCATGTCAGAGCTCCCAGCCCAGACAGACATGATGGAGATAAGTCCCCCACCCCAACGCTTTATCCTTTCAGCTATTTTGGGGAGCAAGAATGAAGGCTGTCCCTGGGAGAGGCTGGGCTGCGGGGACAGGTGACAGGGGCCCTGTAGCACCATGATCTGTTCCATCAAGGAGCAGGATATATGGGAAAGGGCGTCACTGACTCCTTCCTCCCATACCCAGTAGTTGGGGAACATCCAAGTCTATTTGGCCATAGGTGCCCTCCCACCCCCAGCACCATCATCCTGATTCGATAATCTTAAAGGACTTTTCCAACCCTCTGCCTGCCTACCACTCTGGCCAGTTCCCATGCCCCATTCCAGCTGGTCTCATCCCTGCCCTGTGCCCAGCAGGGTGGCAGGTGCCTCTCACAGATATCCACTGTTTCCGGCTCCCATCCCACTCCTCCAGGCCCGCCAGACGGTTCTTCTTGTATGTGGACAGCTGCTGGTATGCCACAAACTCGTTCAGGAAGATCTTAATCCCCAGGAGCTCGGCCACCACCGGCGAGTCTGCCCAGTCTGCCCCCATGAGAAAGGCCACGGGCATGAGGACATAGGATAAGATCACCTGGGAAAAGCATTCCAGAAGGTAATGACTCAGAGCGGACCTTCTGCATAGCCCCCAGCTTGGACACCCACTGCCAGCACTTGCCAAACACTCAGCAAGGATCTCAACAGCCTACTAAGGCAGCGGGCAAAGGTGGGGATGGGTGGGGGATGCAGGGTCTGGCAGCCCAGACCACAGGCCTGTTCTTGGGAATACCTGGAAGGTGAGATCCTTGATGTCTACCATCTCCCCAAACCAGCGCACGGCAGCGTTGATGAACTCCAGCACCGCCAAGAAGGCGATGAGGTTGGCTGCAATGTTGGCCACGAGCCCCACAGAGGCGGCAGCCCCATTGCTGGCAGCTTCCAGGATGTTCTGCTCTTCCCTTGTGGAAAAAGACCCCAATGTACTCATATGGTCAGGCATCCCTTGTGCAAAGTCAGGTGTCAATCCATGGATGTCTGAACAACACAAGCTCTCCCAGCCTTGGGCCACCCACAGCATCCACTTGTGCCCCAAACTGCCCCCACGGCTTCCCCACAGTGGCAAAACACTCCACCCCCCAATGCACTCCCACTCCCCCACCTGTCCCCTCACACTCACCCACTGGCGATTTGGACACTTTCTTTGCCCTTGAACTTGGACTCCTCCACTTCGGGGTACACGAGTTTGGACATGGCGAGGGCGCAGGGTGCAGCCATCACAGAGGCTGCGATCAGCGACGCCGCGTCGATCTGCAACGCGCAGACCGGGGGCTTAGACACCTCTGTGCAAGGCTGTGCCCCGTGACACACCACACCAGGGCATCCCAGCATCAGCCAGTGACACTTGGAGCCATTCAGGGCTCCCTGTTTGCTCAGGGTGCACAAATTGGCTGGTTTTCCCCACTAAGCAGCAAAGCACATGGGGCAGCTTGTCTGGATGGAGGCATTGCTGGAGCTGCAGCGATCGTGTCCTGGGGGATGTTAACCTCTCCTGCTGTTTGACTTAATCATGATGGTTATTGTCCCTTCCTTGTCGCTATTTACGAGTATCAGAGCAATAGGTTGTGTAACATTGCGAACTTTTACCTTCTGAGGATGGGCTAAGCTCCCAGCCTCACCCATCCCCTGTCAAGGTCTCATTTCTCTGACCTTCCACCCTTGGTTCCTCATTTAAGGAGACTAATTAAAGTATAAATAGCAGGAGCTCAGGCAGCAGGTCAAGGGGAAGGTTTATTTCCCATGACAGCACTGACGAACTGGATAGAGCATCCCCGGGGGTCAGGGCCAGGAGCACTGAGGTGATGCTGGAGGAGCAGGGCTTGTTTGGCTGGGAGAAAAGAGAGTTGAGGGGGGGTATGGCTGTTTCTGACCATGTAAAAGGGGTTGGAGGGAAGACATTGCTCATTGGTACCCAGTGAAAGGGTGAGAATCACCAGCACAGCTTTAGTGGGGAAATTCCACTTGGATATGAGGAAAAAATTGTTTCTTGTGACTGAGGCACCTGTTGGGGAGACCAGAGTTGGTGAGGCTGGACCTGTCTTTGGGACAAGGTGAGGCTGGACACCCTGCCTCCATCCTGCTTATGGAAGGGGACAATGGGGCACCTGCTGGAGGTCTCCCACCATCAAGTCCAGGGCAGTTCCTGCATGTCAGGACTCTGCAGCAGGGAGCATGTGGCATACATCTACTCATGCACTCACCCCAAAGGATATGTAGGCACCCATCACACTGCCTGCGATGGTGGCAAAGCCACCAGTCATCACAGCATGGACTTCTGAGAGGGTCATGTCCGCAAGGTACGGGCGGATGAGCAGCGGGGCCTCGGTCTGCAGAAGAGAAAACCCTGCTGTCCTTGAGACAGGGCCACACAGGGCCTCAGGTCTCCTAGGAAGGGAGGAGAAGACCCTTTCTCCAGGGCAGGCTCAGCTATAAGCGCTGAGGAACTGGATCTCCTGCCCAGGCCCTTACCTGTCCCACGAAAATGTTCCCTGCTACACTCAGGGTCTCAGTGGGAGTGGTGCCCATCGAGACTTGAAGCAGCCAGGAGATCTGGGGAAAGACAAGGCCACCATGTTTACAGAGGTTCCTGCACCCTGCCACCATCCCCATGAAGCAGGGCACTGTTTGGCCCCTACACAGAGGTAATCTTGGGAAGCACCCCCAGACTGCATAGAAACATCAGCCCTAGAGTTGGGCTTTCTCAGAAGAACATGCAAGAAGGATGGGGTTTGTATCTATTCTTTTAAGCAGGACAAATCACCACAAAGTAGTACCATGACAATTTTTCCGGGACATCCCTCAGTTGACCGTGGTAGTCAGAGAACCCCCCAGGTTCTTCTCCTTCCCATAGCTATCCCAGATCCAGGAGTGAGGCCCTACCTTGAGAATGAGCCACTGCATGACGCCAAGGTAGTAG